TTGCTTTGTTCCTATTGGCTGAGTGCTGTGCCCATCACTCTATTTCTGAAACTGGGAAAGGTGAGTAAACGCATGGAGAGAAAATAGGGAAATTGCAGCAAGCATGTGCATTCAGTGCAAAAAAATGGGGTGGGGGAGGACTGGTTAAGAAGTGTTAAAGAGATGGAGTTACATCAGGAGGGGAAAGGAGAAGATGCCCCAAGCTCAGTGGAACAATCTGGAAGAGCAGCTAAGGCAGACAGAGAACAATATGGTAATGAAGGGGATTTTGCTGGTGGGAGTTGCTAGGATGCACAATGACAGCAGGAGGATGGAGTGGGGGAAGAAAATGACAGAATCAGTCAGCGTCTGTGATAATCTGCCAGGGACAATATGCTGAGCTACTACTAGTTGTAGGAACCCCTTACACTTGATTGTTGTGACATGTGAACCCACCCAATAGTTAACCAGTTGCCTTAGGAAAGCCATAATGGGGTTGTGTGTGCACAGCAGCCTCACACCCATGTTCTCCCTGCAACTAACATACCTAAGCACACTGTCTCTGATGCTGGAGGTAGTACATAACTATCAGGACTTGTGGCCATTCAGAGCCTTCTCCTTGATGAATTTGTCCAATCCCCCTTTAAAGTCACCCAGAATTTCACAGTTAAATTAGGCACTATTTGAAGAGGTCCGTCTTTTAATCTGTATTGAATCTCCCACCAATCAGCTTCTTGTTATGACCCAGGGTTCATTTTTTTCCCCATTTTTGTAGGCCCCACAGCCGAAGCTTTCTGGGTGGTTTAAAATAATCCATAAGAACAGATTATGAAAATGCAATAAGAATTATAAAATTAGGAAAAAATAAAAGTTTAAAACAGCTAAAGAGGACAATAACAAAGAGAGGCTCTGCAGAAACAGCAGGGATGGGTAATCCCAGCAGGCCCCTGGGTGGCCACACAAGACTTTAAAGGCCTTTGAAAAGAAGGCTATCTTAACTGGGCACTGAAAAGATTAGAGATTTGGCTGGGCGACAGTGGGCAAGTTGTTCCATAGACAAGGGGCCACCACAGACAAAGTCCTCTCCCTTGCTGGCACCCTCCACACTTCCCTTGAAGTTGGCACTCAGGGAAAGGCCCCAGAGGTTTGAGTGTTATGAAAATAGCCAAACGAATTTGCCCCTATTGAACTTCTGCACAGCTTGCATAATTCTGTATGCTCCTGTCAACCTGCTATGTAGCCCAATTGACCATGGAATAAGAATCTGAACAAACAGAAAGCCTGCAAATGCTGCAGTGGGTAAAATTTGACAGCCTCATGTTTTTCAAAAGGAGTGGTCCTTAATGAAAGGGTGTGCTTGGGTAGTGTGGCAAGGTAGTCATTAGCATACAACTAATTGCACTAAATTTTTATAATCCTTGCGTATCAATATGACTGAGGAAGGAATATCTTATTTCTGGTCTAGCTTCAAAGGGGAATGTACAGTTCAAATGCAAAGCATGGTTTCATGATTAAAATGATGCTGCAGATTTATTGTCATAGAAAGTATTTTGGATACTTTGGAAGATAATTATGTTAAGGTTATTATAAACTAAGTGTTGGTATCCAAACACATGTTTCCAATACACAGATTAATTAAATTCCAATGATTTCTAATCTTACAGAAATGACCCTGGTGATAAGAGAAGTAGAATAAATGTTCTTGTTAAAAAAATCTTTTCCTGATTAAAATACCTAATAAAATTACAGCAGCTATGGTTTTAATCAGGAATAGTTAAAACCATTTTTTCGTATACATATATATTACATGCTAGTTTAAAAATCAGGAGGAAAACACAAGCATAACTTAATTAAAATACAATTCAGAGGAAACAGTCGGTGGATGACTATTTACATTTGAAAATGCAGAATAAATGAGTCTCATAAATTATTGACAGAAAGCCAACAGAACAGAGGGATTACATACACATACATTCACTGAAATGAAGCAAAGCTGCTCACACTGGAACTCCATTTTCCTTCTAGCAAACTAACAGAAGACTCAACACATTCTAACTTCCAGTCCTCCAACTGCTTGTGAGCAAGGCCAAGAGCACCTAGACCAATCATGCTGCCATTTCTGCTGCTGGCAGCCCTCTTGTAGATCAATCTGGTGCCTTTAGAAGACAAACGCTACAAAAGAATAAGAAGAAATGTGAGAGATCCCATTTCGAAAAGAGGAAGGGAGGCTCTCCTCTCTGACGTGCCAGCTTGCGTTTTGCCTTTCTACTGGCACAAAAAATAAATTAGATTACTTGTAAAAGTCATGTTCCAGTTGTATTCTGGCTTCCATTGATACTCTGGTTGTATTAAGGAGATAATGAATTACTTGACATTGCATGATATGGGTTTTATTTTCATTGCTCCAACAGAAGAGATTATTATCTTATCCCTGTATTTAGTTCAAACTGATTCTTGACAGCAGCAAACAATCTTGGAGTTCATTGATTATTTAATCTGACTTTTGGCCTCCATTCAGGACCAAAGCTTGGTTTGGTTCCTGGTGGAAATATTAGTTTCCCTTTCTTATTTACGTGTAAAGCTACGATATCCTTCTGGAGTGTCCATGGTATCTCTCTGGAATGCCTCAATGTTCTCTCTTGATCCTTATTTTTAAACATCTACCAAAAAAGAAAGAGAGAGGAGAGGAGAGGAGAAGAGACGACCCATTGCTGAAGTCAGTTATTGACATTGCACTAGAGGTCACTTATAACACAATGTAATTTATACCTGCACTAGGCTAAATTGGATGCTGCCTGTTATGTTTATTGTTATGCTCTCATTACATTTTGTATACCATTTTGAGAGGACAATTGTGCTCTGAAAGGCAGTTTAAAGAAAATAGGGAATGTAATTGTGGGCTTGCTCCTGCATCATATATACGCTTTGGGCATGACATGAAGTGTTCTAGAGTAATTCATGTGACCTTTCTGTTAACAGAGGAACTGGAACCACGTTTATCCAGGAGCAGAGTTGGGGGGGTCCTTCATCATTGCACAGCTGACTTCTGGATGTTTCTGAGAACGCAGCAACTCAAAACTTTGATAAAACATTCAGAAGTTGCTTCCCCACACAATAAGGCAATCTGCATTACTGGAATTCACTGGCATGTCAAAAGGATCACCTAAAGAGACCTCTCCAAAACCCCATCCACCTTCTGTTTTACACATGCAAATTGGCGGAACCCAATGCCCCCTGAACATTCAAAGATTTTCACCTGTCCTCTCTCAGTTTGGGTGAGGACAATTTTTATCCCTATTATTTTCAAGCCAAATGTTCTCACAAGACAATATAAATGCTGCACTGTTTCCATCAACCATTTCCAAAGCACCTAACTTTTACTAACAGCTATAGAAAGCACTAAAGCCCGAAACAGCTTGTAACTACGGTACTGGGACCACTTCTATCAGAGGGTAAATGGGTGGTGGCCAGAGAGAAGGATTTTAAGTGATGATGCCATATTTATGAAATCATTTTGACAATATGTTGTATTTTCATTCTCTGAGGCTTTTGTGGTGGCTGGCTTTATCACCACTTTTGTGGACTGCTGCTCTGTTCAAGAATGTTTAAAAAATTCTACACTGAAATCCAGTTCTCCCTGTTTTCTGGGATTTAAAAAGCATTTTGTTTTTTATGCATGTTGTAAACCACTTCACATGTTTTTAACAGAAAAGGATATCAGAATACCTATGATGGTTTAAAAACTAGAACATTTGGAGATCACTTATTAGCTTCAAACAGTTACTAAAGTATGTCTGAAATTTTTCAATGATTCTCTTAGGCCATTTACCTTAGAAGGGTCACAGATAGAGACTTGACATAACACAGTTTGGATCAATGTCACTTATTTAATTCACAATGAGTTGTGCTGCCCACAGAATCCACTTTGCATATCCAACCCTTGCTCAGGGGTTGCCAGACTGAGCCAACTTGATAAGTATAGGTTATGTGAGGGTTAAACCCTTGCATAAACCACACTTGCTGTGCCCACATGATATGACAGCATGCAAGCAGGGTTTGGGTATGCAGATGGTGTCTGCATGCACTCCAAACATGCCAAAGCCTTACTGTGGTTTATATCAGGATAGTTCCCATGAGACAACAACTCACTTTTTAACTCACAGTGGACTAATCAGCCCATTAAAAGTGAAAAGAAAAGAAACAAACACAAAAGCCTTGCATTCTGAATCAGGTAAGAGAACAAAATAAACTGTACAATGAAGGTTGTATTCTATTTTTTTATCTATTAACTAGCTCTCACAAACATTTCATCTGCAGTACTTTAGTAGATTTGATTTAGAAAAGATATGATTATTTAAAAACAATAAGAAAATACTACATGCTCATAATTTACTAACTGCATCCTCATTTTTCTGAAATTTAAACAAACAATATTCAAAAGCACTTAAAACTGTTAAACATCTTGAATGCTGCTCTTGGTCCTTCCTCCATCATTCTGGGTAGGTTTACTCATCTCACAAGATGACAGCACAGAATATCACTTGTAGCAGGGTAGGAAGTCAAGGGACCAATCATAATTCCTGGGTAGCTGAGACCATTTAAAATGAATTCTATATGGCTTAGGAATTGCTACAGATAACAAACCTGTTGCAGGAATTTCTTTCAGGAAAAGCATGCCTAGGAAGAACATGTTTTTTGTAAAATAGTAATGGAACAAGTTCAAAGTCAGTGTCACAGTATTTGCTTTGGGCATACCTACATGGCTACCTCCTGCAATTGTGGATCAGCTCTAAAAGAGAAGAAACATCCAATAAAGCTGTAGATGTAACTGTGATCAATACCGAGTATTTCAGTGGCTTCTTCTGTTACTTCTCAAAGGCACCACTGCAAGTTCTTGAAAAAATGGGCACAATTCATTTCCAAAAGAAATAGCTGGTTCCCTCACTGAAGTCCTACATGCTCAAAACTTCCACTGAATTGTACCACTGCATTCTTCAAGAACTTCAGCAAAGCTATTATGCCTAATCATGCCAAGATGGCCTTTTACTGGCCTTCATACTCTTGCTCCGATGGAGAAGCTTCCCTTTCTGCTGTATAGTCAAACCACTGGAACATTCTAGCTTCTGTTTGGAAGGAAAGGTAGACTCTTTCTTTACAACAGAAGAACTGTATCTCTGTGGAAGAAATGTGGGTGTGGAATTAGTATCAGACTTGTTTGGTGAAAGTGCATTTAAGACATTTGCTTCTATTCCTTCTGTCCTGCCATCCTCAGGCTTGGAAACATGCCGCATAGCTTCTGCTTTCTTTATCTTCTGTTCCCTTAAATTCTGAAGAGTCTCTAAGGCCTGATCCACTTCTACTTGTAAGGTTTCAATTTCTCTTGCTGCTTTATCCCGTTGTTCCCCACAGGCTTTGAGTGAACGTTCCAAAGATAGGAAGAACTCTTTTCCACATCTTGACAGGGCCTCACCACCTTATTATTAAATTAAAAGAAAGCAGGAAGTCAAACTTCACAATTCATGGCTTAATTGAGAGTTGCTTTCAAGCTGCTTGAATATACTAGTAAAGTGTTAAATAGCTGTTAATGAACATCTAGTTCTTGCAAATAACTACTACCATGAACCTAGAAAAACTTGAAAGCACAGTGCTAGAGAATTTTTCATCAGCTGCCTTAAAAAAAACATATCATAGTTACTTTCCATGATGAAATAAATGCAGAAATATACTCTACAGCTAGTTAGCACTTTCCGGTTTTGTATTTGCCACTGGCAGGGTATTGGATATTACTTACAATGAGGATGGAATACCTGCAGCACCTTTGTATCCAGTCCATGGCCTAACCTTCCCTGGTCTCATCCAGTATATGACAATTAAACTTTCAAAAAAATTCTCATATTTGCACAAATTGGAGGCTTTTTCCTTAATCAAAATTGTTCAAGGACAGGTTGAGCTCTCCTATGCATGGTCCCAAATACTCCCCACACATGGCAATTAGGCCTCACATGAATGGGAGCTTTTTTCCCCCAAGCTTAATTTTTGGTTAGGAAAGAGGGTCTGTGGGCAAGAAAGTGAGGGGGAAGAAATAGAGCAAAGAGAAAGACAAGGAGAAAAGGGGAGTGGCAGAAAGAAAATGGTTCCATCCTCTTTTGGTTTCAGCCCTGCCCAGACTCTATCTTTGCTTCCACCAACCCAGCTGGTATAGAGCCCAAGAAATTTTCTCCAAGTAAATCTGACCATGTACATTTTAAAATGTTCCGTACCATTGTCTACAATTGCTAGACTACAACCTGATCTTTCAGTTTGGAATACTGGCCAAGAAAAAATTTGTATCTACATTTTCAAATTGAAACAATAAATTTACGATATAGAAGAGTTTGCTTGCATAAATATAAAAGTAAGGAACCAGCCAAAAGGACTCTACTACTTGAGAAAGTTTCTTTATTACTCCAAAATTCAGTAAGTGTACTAGACTTACATGATTTGCTTTTTCATGTTGGATTTGCTCATCTGTGAATCTACAAATCTTAAAAACTGACTGTGGCTTCCATAGCAAAATGCTATTTTAAAGATTTGTCTAAAAATAGCCTATTCCAAATAAATCAGACAAAAGAACTACATAGTTCCCGACTTTCTGAAGCAAACCTAGAAGACCTGGGCATCTTCTTTTGCAGAAATGCTATACAATACTCAAACCACAGTATTTTTTGTGAAGGCATTTTTCAGATAGTGAAAAAGTTATGCAACTACTACAGATATAGATAAAGGATTGTGTCCATTATGTGAATAACAATGAGCAACTTCACCTCCTCTCCCCATGTGCATCATCTAGTGATATTCTAGATCAAATAGGAGAAATCTCCTGGAGAAAAAGCTGTGTGTGGGGGGGGGAGGGGGGATCATGTGTTCACATGACACATCAAGCCCTGATGGCTTTGTGTGCAAGGCTATCATGTCATCCAAATCATGTATTTCAGCATAGTATGTTTGGCTTTTAGTAACCATGCTAAGCTTCTATATAGCCTGAAGTGCCTGATCCAGCCTTCAAAGCTAAGCAGGGTTGGGCCTGGTTGAAATCTGGATGGGTGACTTAAATGTTGTGAACCTCCCACAGAGCTTCAGCTACAGTATAGAAATGTAACATAAAAATAACAATAAAATAATAACAAAAATAATAAGGATGATAAGAAACAGTCTGTTCTATGATTTCCATGCTTCACCATGGTTTTTCTGATCATCCAAACCCAGCATCATGGTTTCCATTGGCCTGGTAAGCAGCTGCCACACAGTCCTCCAGAAAAAGTTGCAGCTGTTCCCATCCAATTATCCAGTGTGGGAATGAATTTCAGGTTTACTGAATGATGAAATACATGCCAACAGTAGGAGGACTGAGCAAGGAGGTTGGAAACCATGCTAATGTCAAACTAGACACTGTTGAACTTGTCTGTTAGTTACATCCAGCCTTCCTCCTCCAAAAATGCACCATGGAAACCAGGCAGGGTTGCTTGTTGTGGCATGTGAACCCAGCCTCATGCCATCTGCCCTCTCCAGCAGTGGTTCCATCTATATTTGATGCTTATGTCTCCGCTGGGTCAAATTCTGTCCTTGGGATGAAAAGCAGTACACACATGCACCCCGCTTCTCTAGACATCCCTCTTTTTCAGGAATGTTAAATACTTTTAGCACTCAAATGAAAATATGATAATTTCACCAGGCACTTTAAGCACCAACCAGCAGCCAGTAGTTCTGCTCAAATCTTTCCACTGCTGGAGGATTTAACCAACTATTTGTTCAGACTCAAAACCACCACCAGGGCATGTATATGCTTTGGGCTGAATACAGATTAATATTGGATGAACTGTGCTCATGGAAATGAACTTCCCTATCTGCTTAAGTTCCCCAACACTGCCACACAGAGAATCAAGAAATCTGCTTGTGGTTTGAAGGAGAGGGAGATCCCACCAAATTGTTCAGAGAGACTTTCTGCAAGCAGAGACCTTCCTCTCACCAAAAGTAGATCCTTGATCCAGTCTTAAAGGTACAAGCCTGAACACAAGTACTACTATTACTACCATAACTATTACTATTGGATTCCTATTTCCCTAAAGCAGCACCTTTCAACCTTTTTACAGCTGCGGACCCAAAAAAATACATTTTTTTTCAGGGATCACTGAGGCAAAAATAGAAAGCATACATAATACAGTATTTTGTGTATTAGTTTTTAAATACAATACCAAAAATGATAATTTGCTAAAATAACCAGAAACCAAGCAGTAAAAAATACTAATAAAAGAATAAAAGATTGAAATTAAATGCAATCAAATACAACTGAAATTTTTAGAGAGCAATATTTAATTCAAATAAGGCTAATGTGAAATCAGCTGTTGCTTCTTTTCAAGAATACTTGATAGTCGTGGTTGCAGTGTTGCCTCCAAGAGATGAAGCGCTGCACGGACATCCATTCTGTTTCTCTGTTTGGTTTTTATCAGTGGCAGGGCTGAAAAGCTCTTTTTGCACAAATATGTGGTAGAAAATACGAGTAACAATTTAATAACTCTGTAACTTAGAGACAGATATTCTTTTTCCAGTGATAGGACTGTGACAATGGTTGCATTTTATGTTTGGATGCCAGAGTGACATCAGAGCTCTCTCCCACCTCCTGCTAGGACCAGTTCAGTTCCCCTGGTGAAGGCAGCAGCGCTGAGCAAGCAGGAAGAGCGGGTGCAGCTCTGAAAATGTTGTCACCACTCCTGTTTCCTCAGTGCGCTGTGCAAGTGGCCCCAAGCTGCCTTGTGTTGCCTGATGAGGTGAGCGGTGCAGCCATCTTCCAGGCGTTCTGATGCACCAACGCAACCTGCTATTGGAATGCTGGGCTGGCGCATGCCGTGGCATGGGTCTGGCTGCAACGCTGGCTGTGGGATGGTGTGCTTTTTCTGCATGGCCCGGCCGCCCCTCTGTGGCTCCTCCACAATGCTTAGCTCCACAGAGTGCTGTGCCCCCCAAGGGCTTCTTTCTCAGGGCTTTTTGTGGACAGGCAGGAAATCTCCTGCAGACTGGCACCACAGGAAAGTAGGTATTTTACAAAAATAGGCCCACTCACCAGAGTGAGAGCTACTTCTCTGAACCTTACAGTTAGATGAACAATATGACACTTGGGCATAAAGAAATGTAATGGGTCTATATTCAACTTTGCTATGCTATAGTGGTAAGATTTACGTGCCTGTACCCCTTTCACCACCAGTCAGCCAATTGTGATTCTGGACTGAATAGGGCTCTTGGGTAAGTTTTATTTGCTTGGGTTTTGTTTGGTTTCATTCATATAGTCTTCTGTCCTTGAGAAAAGGGAGAAGGACATTTTCCAATTTGCAAAAATTAATACCTAATAGGAAGGGTTAGCTGATATGAAATGTACAAATACAAATGGCAGTTTCAGCTTCTAATGTACACCTCTCTGTTTTACTAGAGCAAAAGTCAAATGTCAAGAACCATATTAATGTTTTAAAGTAATTCCAATTATGACCAATGAACGCAATTACATTCCTGAATTCAGTATGTTTTAGAAAGAGGAAAGGTATCAATTCAGTCTGCATGGATACATTCTACTGTGTTTTTTTTAAAAATGCAACATTTATGCCTCTTAGATATGATAACAATATTCATTAGCTGGTGATGTTTTATACATCCAACAATAAACATTTAACTATATTCATCATTGAGAAAACATACCAATTGTTGCCAAATGAATAATAACACGTCAGTCTCACAAGCCACTGCAGAATAACAGAGTGCCAACTCTGACCAGAGAGATCTGGATTCCTTGATCGGCCCTGATGCTGATCTATGGCCACTTACAATCTCTCTGATTAACCTGCCTCCAAAGCTGTTGGGTGGGAGTACAGGAAAGAGGGCGATGCATATCATTTCTTTCAGAAAGTATAGGTCTATAAAGTAATGATGTGCTCCCCAGAGAGGTTCTCCTGGCGCCAAATTTACATTCTTTTCGGCACCAGGTAAAAACCTTTTTATTTACCCAATATTTTAAGGACTGAGGAATTTTAACTTGGTTTTAATATATTTACAGTCACATTTTGTTTTTGATTGCTATCATATATGTTGTTTATTTATTGTTCTAAGTATTGTAAGCCAACCTAGGACAATTTTCGTGTAGGATGGGGTAGAAATATTTTAAATAAACAAACAAAACAAAACATGAGGGATGTATTGTGATCATAAATAACAAGAGTGAACTCAGTTCTCCAGGTGCCAATCCTCCTGTCGCCAAAAGGACACTATCTACAATCAAGAGGAAGTTTCAGCAGATTTGAGGATATCCAAAGTCTTGTAGAAGTACAGAAATATCTTTAAGAAGAAAGCAAAACATTCTAATTGAAAGTGGACACTTAGAACACAATTGAATGAAATCTGGACATGCTCACTAAGCACAGAATGGTAACTCCTCTGTGTGCATGGAAGTGACTTCTGGCAGTATGGATGCCATTTTCTAACCACTCAACTCCCACACGCTACACTGCTGCCATCCCAGTCCCAACAGCTTGGAAACCTCTATAGAGACACAGAAGGCCCATGATTAAATTAAGGCAAACTACATTTGGCACTTTTGAATCTCCGTAGTGGTTTACTGCTGAATTATGATGGCAAACTGAACTGGCAGTGCACCACAGTCTGGAGGAAGCAGAGGGAGGGGATGTTGTATCCAAAGTCATGGGAGACTACATGTGGCCATGTATCCTCCACCTCCAGTGTATTGGGAAAATGGTAGGGCTCCAAGAGGCCCAAACTGGACCCCTATCACAAATGGACAGGGTCTTTTCAGGCTCTCTCTTTAACATAGTCCCTTACATTCTCTGTAAACCTATGCCCGGCTGCTTGGTGGCCCTTTAAGGAATGCCCCTTATGAAGGAAGGGGTCTGTATTCATAAGAAGAAACCAGGGATGTGTCTCTTTGGATTCTAGCCAATTTTAATGTGCTACTGCAACGGAGGCTCATATATTGCCTTTACAAGGCAAGAAGTTTACACTGGTCACTTTAAAGTAAAAAACATAGTTCAAGTGACATTTATGCTGGCGTTTGTACTTTGAGTCTATACTATCAAATGCAGTTTCCTTCTGTAAGGGAGAAGAATTCAATATATTGGTTGTGCAATCAGATTTTCATTCTCTCTCCCTCTACCAGAAATCTGATCAAAAGATTAGCAAGAATGCAGTTACTTCATGTTTCATGTCTGAAACCTGCCAATCAGTGTAAACCAGCCTTGCCCAACCCCGGTGCCCCCAGATATTTTGGACTCCTCTTTCAGCATTCATGATCATGCTGGCTGGGAAATGAAGTGAAAAACTTCTGGAGGATACCAGGTTGTAGAAGGATGGGGACAAGAACAGTGGTGCATGGCCCATTGTTTTGACTTGGTATTTTATGTTCTTAGAGACAATGATACTTATTTAGAGAAATCTTGTTTCGCTTACTGCATTTTGCTCAATGTGATAAATTGAAAGCAAAAGAACAAATCAAAACCAAGTGTTGCTCTTGTCTTGACATAGATAAATTTAAAGCATTAACAGCTATTTTATATTTAACCATAAGCTATCAAGAGTTAAGGACAACCCAGTTATTTAGAATGACAAAGAGCTTTCCCTTTTCATGTCTTTTTAAAAAGATACAAGATAACAAGCCAACATTCTCATGTGCACTCTTTAGCTCCCTGTTTTACCAATAACATTCTTACCTTCACACTGCTGACTCCCTGGTGGAGACAAAGTTTCAACTGCATATTTGAGCTGTTCAGCATTGTTTCTAAAAGCAGCGAGAAAGCCTCTCAAAGCATCCTCTGAAGCTTCTGTTTTAAGTTTTGCATAAGAAGATAGAACATCTGCAAGAAGTGAAAAAATGATCAACTATACCCTAGAACAGTGGTGGCAAACCTATGGCACGCATGTCACAGTGGGCAAGCAGAGCCCTTTCTGTCAGCACATGAGCCAAGTTGCCCCAGCATCACCCCAGCAGCCGAGCATTGGATAACAGCACACATAGGAGCCATGCGCCTGCTCGGAAAGGAGCAGCGGTGCCAGGCGATGACCTCACAAGATGCAACACATTAGCCACAACTCGTGCAAGCTTTCACATGGCTGCTCAGTGCACTGCCATTTGCTTGGACTGGCTGTTTGTGGGTTTTATTACAGTGTTGGCACATTGCGATAAATAAGTGGGTTTTGGGTTGCAGTTTGGGCACTTGGGTTCTAAAAAGTTCGCCATCACTGGGTTAGGGTTAGAAAAACAAGGTGTCCTGGCATGATTTTGATGGCTGGAATGCATTTAGATTGGGCAGAAATGATGAGCTGTGCAGAAAAAGCTACTCAAGGAAGGCTTTTTCAAAATTGCCCTCTTTTTAATGGAACTTCATCCCTATATTAAGGTTAGGGGAGTGCACAAGGGTAGGGTCAGGCCAGTGGTCCCGAACCTATGGCACACGTGGGCACGTAGAGCCAGCACGCGAGCCAAGTCACCTCAGCCGAGCATCGGATAACAGCACACATAGGGGCCATGCGCATGCTCGGAAAGGAGTAGTGGTGCCAGGCTATGACATCATGTGCCTTGACTCATTAGCTGCAACTCATACCTGCTTTCACATGGCCAGTCAGTGTGCTGCCACGGATATATATATACATTTGTCTGGACTAGCTGCGAGTTGTTTTCTAAACTAAAACCTCAGTTTTCAGGTTTTATTGTAGTGTTGGCACTTTGCGATAAGTGGGTTTTGGGTTGCACTTTGGGCACTCGGTCTCTAAAAGGTTTGCCATCACTTCCCTAGAAGCGTATATAAAATTAGAAACAAAAGAAATATTCCTGAATTGCAACTGTTTTCAGATATGTAGTGTTTAAATACCTATCAATATTTAGAAACTGATTTTTGTTTATGCTGCTGTCCCTAGAAACATACATACCCTGTAGTGGTGAACAGAGAACCATGGCAACGTTATCTTGAAATGTGTGGTATGCTTGTTTTATCCCTTCGAAGACAGCATCAGTGTACTTAACTTGGAGATTATAGAAATTTCTATGAAAATTAAGTTCAGCTTGCAAAGCAAGTATCTAGAGAGAAAGGGAGAAACAACAGTATGTGATCCTGACTAGCAACAGCAACGATCAGCTCTTCCTATTGACTCACCATTGGTTGTGAGCCTTAACTCTACATGTACAGGGGAAGTGAGTGGGTTGACATTCACACTGACAACCACTGCTTAAAACGAGCAAACCAGAATGTGAAAACAGAGGCTAAAGCTGTTTTGGAAACCAGTTCAAGTGAACTGTGGCTCACATGACACTTGAAACAACCAGATATGACTTTAGCCATTTCTCTGCCTTGTGAGGTTTGCTATAGTACAGAAATGGGAGCCCCAGTGAGATACAAATGAAGCGGGCAAGCAGTCTGCTGGTCCCCAAACCATGCCTTCCTCCTGGTAGTCTTCTGCTCACTCTCCTTAACACCTTGAACAGTGTCTTAATGACTAATAGTACCAGGCCAGGACCCCCCAGTACTATTCTTAAGTATTGAGCAAATGAAGATCAAAATAGACTCACATCCTATTATGTTCTATAGTAAGACTGAGAAGGATCACAAGGGTAGCACAAGTGTGTTTTGGACCTGAGATACTCTCAGCCCACCTTCTCTCATTCTCCACAGCCACTTCATAGAAGTGTCTATTGTAGGGTAAAAACCTCAAAACCTAGCAGACACTACCACTAATTAAACCTCCAAAGAACTAGCAGGTAAATCTTCCCTTTACCAAATAGTTCAGATCCTCAGACATGACATTATTGCCAAGAAAATCCACAAAAACCATTAAATTTAGAAGGAAGTTCAAATATTTGCCTAGTCACTAAAAAGCATTAAACACAACATTTATATGAAGCATTTTAAATGTCATCCTTCATAGATTGCTTTACAGGTTTGCAAAAGAGGCTTGTGTGGCAAGAATCATTTCTATTGTAAGAAATAATCTTTGCAACAGCTCCCTTGTTCTAATGCTCCAGTTTGTACAGCTGAATGGAAAGAGAGCCAAGAGCTACAACAAAAATAAATTTATACTTTTTAGAGTACAACTTATTGCATGACATTTTTCATACATTAATCTTCAGTAATATTTGTTCTGATTATGTTCTTCATGCTATACATGGCACCAGATTAACAAAGTCCTTGACCCTGGATTAAGAGCGAACACTAAAATAATATGAATGTACTGGGAAAATATGAATGCTTTAATTTTTACACAATTTGCTACTTTTACACCATTACTGACTTCCAAGTAGCAGCAGATAAACAAAGAAAAATGAAGGCACATTCTTTGTAGAAAGTCATTAAATACTCGCTTCCTTGCCCCCTGAGGGAATCCAATAGCCCACGGAAAAATAAATATTATGAAACGGGCCTTAGACAATTTTGACATCAAGACTTTTGGCCATCTGTAGCAAGATGTATTGAGCTCACTGCCAGATTATCTGAGTGACCTAATGTACTTTCCCAGGCACAAGATCAAATTGTTCCAAGATGAGCAGACTGAAAATGAGCAAGGAGCAGCAGATTGGTTGAACAATGGAATAGGCTGGATCCAGAAGGTGTCCAGAAGGTATCTTCTGCCTGAAAGACTGATTTGTGCCTTACATAAGAGGACTGTGCAAACATTGAAATTAGACTTAAAGGTGTTCTGTTTGATCAAACTCTTGCACAAACAGAAGCACAAGAATTGCTACAGAATCCTATACAGCACTACATAAACTCTTGCAGAAGTGTTTGCGTAACACTACTAGCAGCTGTTTCCCTTCTGCTTCTAGTTCTTGGGATCCAATTCACTGTCACCTAAATTAATTCCTTCTAGTGGCAGGATAGTGCAGTAATTGCAATTATTATAACCTGAGGCAGTCCAATGGACTTTAATATATGGATCATTAAATGTCCTACCTCAATTATGGTCTCATGACATTTCTTGGTTTCACTCAGCTTCATTGAAAGAGTGACATAGGTTACTGTAAGCAGCTGTAACACTAATAATGTTAACTGGGTAACAAGGCAATGGACAATATGTGTGCATGCAAGGCCTGGTTATGAAGCTGATGCTGCTTCAGCATAATTTTATTTTTAATTTAAACATTTCTACCCTGTTTTCTTCCTGCATTAAAAATTGCATCTGTACTAATCAAAACTCATCTTCTTTCAAGGTTACAAGGAACTGTGTTCTACTGAATCGTAGCATAGATGTATCTACTCTACTACTATTTATCCCACAATAGGCAGTGACTTGGACTCTTAGTAGCTTGAAGTCTGGGCAGTGACCTAGACTATCAGAGTAAATGTTGTTCCCAGACTTATTTACAATTATTTTATCTAGAAATAACAGGAACTGGATTTGAACCTTCTTTCTTATATACCGTATGTTCAAGCAATGAGCTATGGTCCTCAGCCTTTAAAAGGAATAAAGATTACCAAAATCTTAATTAAAGATTGAGGGGAGGGGAGTAAAATTCCTTAACTTAGATATGCCAGATTCAAAACTTGACCTCCATGAGTCTTCTCAATACAACTCATTCTGTCATATAGAGTGTTAATCTTATATAAGCTATAATGCCATTTCTACCTGATAGTGTGGTTTTTTGACATGCAAGAATGCAGCCTTCTACCTCATCCCAAAAGATACACATGTAATTTGAAAGAGGAAAGTTTGTACTTTATTAAAGCCATAGTTAACAAAAATGGTTCATTTCAGTGGTGGTTCATTTCAATTATGGAACAAGCTCCACATGGAGCTCCACATGAGAGCCACATGGTGCCATCTATAATATCTTTTCAGCAGGTTGAGATTGTGCTCTACCACGCAGCATTTAATTGGTTACTATTATGTTACGGTTTTGTTAGCTGCTTAAACAGGCCTTATGATTTATGCTATGGTAGCTAGGAAAAGTTAAAGGCAGAAGAAGAAAGAAAGATCAAATATGAGATGGGGTGACTCCATAAAGGAAGCCACAGCCTGGAATTTACAAAAGCGAAGCAGGGCTGTCATGGATAGGACATTCTGAAGAGCTTTCTTTCATAGGGTCATCTTAACCTGAGGCACATAAAAAGAGCATGCAGTATTAAGTTCCATTTTAATTTTTGTATGGTAATCTTTTCTGAAGTTTTTATTGCTGTTTGTATTTTAAATTGTATTTTATGTCTTGTAAATGACCCAGAGAACTTTGGCTGTTGGGAGGTATAGAAATTAAATAAATTAATAACAAAAGTATCTGTTGTTTTTGCTGCAACAGTTCCCACTACCAAAGAAACAGGCAATTTAGCTCTTCAGCAGCAGGAAGTACAAAAGAGCCAATCACAGTCCAAGATGACAACTGTGCTCCCTGCACTATGGGTATGTTGGCCCACTAGACACCAGCTCCTTCCATCATGAAGAGCTTTCCATTAATGATCTACATTTGCCTTAAGCAAAATGCTGAAAGAGGCCCACTAACAGTCTCCTTAAATTGCAAATTATCTGGTCAGCTATGAACACTGGTGCAACATTTAAAAATCAGATGAAAATGTGATACATTATCACAGTTCATTACCTAGGAAAAGGCAAATGCTGACCCAGATACCAACTCAACTTTATCATGGTCTTAAGGAAATGACCATCTAACAAACAGATTTCTGCTTAAACAGTCTGTAAGATACTTAGGAAGAAATTCTATTATTAGTTTACTAATAGTCCTATCCAACACTGCTGCTGCACTAGCAGAACCCATCCCTAGTACAATAGATTCTTAACAGGACAGACCTGACCTTTCCCACTCTGGAAATGAGTGCCTTTGGCTGCTCTTCTAGCTTGCTTTATATAGGACAAATTTCCTTCATGTTAACAGTGGATCCCACTGGCACAATCCAATGAATGAAGGTGCAATAGATACTGTCCTAAGAGTTACAAACAATTTTACTAATGTTTTCAAAAATATATTAGAAAGTGAATTAATTTTCATGATAGCAAATTTAAAAACCATTTTCTTTTAAATGTGCCTTTTACTTTAAGTTTTCTAGTCCCTACTTGATTATTTTAATAAACTTTGGTTGTTGAAGTGGGTAGAAAAAATGAGGACGTCTCCAAATCATATTGATGTTTCTCTTTTAAGAGAACAACTAGCCATGTTTCTGTGTGCCTGACCATGAATAGCTGTATTCATAAGCTCCTATTGTACAGACTTGCATGAAAGCCACAAAAATGGCCTTGCCAGCAAGGAGCAAGAATAATGCTTGCACAGCCACTAGACAACTTGACAAAGCAATCTTAACCTTTATACGTTAGCAATTTATTAAGGATAGTGTAAAGAAAATATGACTCACAATTGCAAAGTAAGTCAAAAGGTGGTTAAAAAAAGAAGAATGTTAAGCTTCAATAAATTTCCCCATTTCCTCACCTGTTGCATTGCCATTTGCCTGGAATAATTTTGAGCCTTTACCAGGGCTTCTACTGCCCTTCTAGCACGTTGCTGAGGGGCACCCTTGGGGAAGGCTGGAAGTGTTGCCAGCACATTCTCCACTGTAAACTCCTGGCTCAAGGAACATTCCAGGACCTCCTGAAAAACATTTGGAAAAAGTATTAAAAGAGACCATTTCAACACAACAATATTTTAAAAGAGACACTACATTTCCTTCCCGAAAAACAAGTGGAAACAAAAAATCCCCTGCAGGTTATATTAGCAACAGAATATGTTGTAGAACAGTGCTTAGAATTATTGCTCTTTGTTGATATTAATAACCATTTAATTTACAGGTGGTACCATAGAGCAGTGCAGATGGCTGCTACTTTGTTCCTCACGCGAATCCCATTGAAAGCATATTAAGAGAGGCAGCAGAGACACTGCAAACAACTTGTAGCTACCCACCACAGCATTTCCAGCAATTCAGTTGCCATCTACTAGTTATAATGCTGCTCAATGATGGTGGAGTTGACTGGTAAGTAATGCAAAATTACTGATTTTGGCTCTGTGGTTTTTCTTTTGTTTTCATTTTAGGCTTCTAGTTTGTGTCTATGTTTTATACGTTGAAGTTTGACCTGTCATTTGAAAAAAATCTAGCAATAATTAAATCAGAGAATTATATGCCATTAAATACTGATTGTATTCAAAGTATTTCTTTCTAAACACCCTTTTGCCTATTTTCATATCTGTCAAAGAGTATGTATCTATAATTAATATTTTCTACACTGAACAATGTAAAGGAAGATTAAAGTGCAGTGCATTTTTTAAAAAAAGGAATATTCATTTGTCAAGTTGCAAATAAATGAACTGTTTGATTTAAAGTTCAAATCTCCTTAATTTAAAATTTATGGCTAACTACTATAACATATACAATTATAAAGGAACCCATAGCAAGCTTAATTCATGGGGAAAAGGATATAACAAGCTGATCTTGCTTCACACCATGCAACAGCAGGGATTCTAAAGAATGGCTCTTAAAAGATTAGGCTGTTAGCAATGCCAGTATCTAGTTTTGGTAAAAAAAAAAAAAAAAAGCAGCCCATGGAAAAAGACTGATACCAAACAAATCGGAAATGGTTCTAGCCCTCCTGTTCAGACTAACCATGCCCTTTTATTAGGCAGATACTTTACTGGGAATGTCTCTTGTGAAGTGAGACAGCATGCTAGCTGATGCTGTTCCCTCCTCCTTGTTTGATGCATCATCCTGGGATCTGTAATATCCAGCCCTTCCTCCTCCTAAGATATTTTCAGGCTTGTTTTCAGGGTTATCCAAAACATTCTCACCTATGTACAGCTGTGGTCATGAAGCTTCAGCCACATCAGCCTTTCTCCTCCCTATCTTATCAGAGTAAGAATCAAATTCCATGTTTTCGAGACACCTCTGTGGAAGAGCTAGGCACAAACTTCCAGCAAACCACAGAGTAATTATTTTCTGCAAGAGGCTTAGGTGTAATGAATTAGAGAATAGAACTCTAATTAGAACAACCAATTTAATAATAAATCATTGTAGCCTGATCCATTTTTATCTGAGTGATAAAAATAGAAATTACTAGATATCATGGATACAGCTAAAAGCTAGCAGACAATTAATTTAAGGAAACAACAAGCTTTGCCAAAAAAAGAAAAAGAAAACACCTAATAAACCCAATAGATTATGTTAACAAATAGAGATTGATGAGAAAAGGAATGGGCACCATCAATCTGATAAGCGGCAGAAGAAATTGTAAATACACACCAAAGAAACTTTGATGAATTTCTAAAATACTGTAGTACCTGTTTAATATATAAAACTAGTAATCCCACCCACTGTAAATAAAAGAGTATCTTTTAAAATCTAATGTATGAAACTAGGAGACACCTAGACAGAGCTATAAAGAACAAAGCTCCAGTATCAGATAAACTGACTGAAGTTTATACTAAACAGTTCTTAAGATACCCACTGAGAATTATAAATAAGTTTTTGGTTATCTGTAAACTAACTGAAATATCAGCTGAATCAGAATATGCCATCATTGCTACTAGTCTGAGACTTCCGTTTGGCGTCGTGGTGAGATGGCTCTGAAGAGCGCGGGCTCCTGTTATCACGCCGGTATTTGTTCGACACGGAGCCGTGGGAGGCTCATCCAAGCCCTGTTGGGGCAGGAATTAGTTTGTCCAAGCATTCTTCTGGCTGGTGTGGGGCGGCAGCTCCGCATTTACTGGGAGAAATTTGGGCTTTTCTCAATCGAACAACACAGGGGAGAGTTCAGCTCCCTGCAAGCCATGGAAAACCGGATAATAGCATAGAATAATAGCTAGAAGTTCATCGGACCTGCTGGGTGAGCATTTCTATTTTTTTTCTCGTCAATATTACCCATGAAAGAACTGCAGCAGTTACTAATTGGCATAAAGAAGAAAGGAAAGCCTCTTTGATGGAGGGAGGAATTCCTCCTCCCCCCATGGAGTTTTAAGCGGTGACTGATCTGGGGGAGAGGAACTGAGGCTTTTTTGGAAAGTTTGAGGCTGGAGAGAAAGACCTCTTTTTTCTAACCTCCCCAAGGGCGAAGAATCAGAATAAATAAATACTGTGGAATAAGTGATAGAAGGACAAAGCTTTCTTGCTGATTGGCCATTTTTTGGATCCTGTTTTTTTGTTGTTATTGTACAGTCCTTCTTGAAAACAGTTCTTATGCCAGAAAAAAAAAGAAAGAAACGTTCGTTTCCTTTGTGATGCCATTTAAAGACAAAATAGCTCTTTGCTGCCACCCTGTGGCTATTGGATTTATAGCAAGTTTCTTTTTTCTTCTTTTCTCTTCTTTATTTCTCTGTTGTTGTTGTTGCCTTGTAATTTTTGGAAAAATTATTATCATCATGAAAAAATACACTCTTCCTCCTCTTCAGCACCTACATCAGCTGTTCAGAGTCCAACTCACCAGCCTAAAGCAGCAGATGTTGAAAAATATCAAAAAGAGCTACAAATGACGCTTCTGGTAATACAGACATCCTTAACAGCTTTGCAAGCATCCCAAGAGGCGATGTCAACATGACAGGAAAGCATTCAACCGAACAAAGAGAACGTCTTGACAAACTGGATAATTCTATTAAGGAGGTATCAACCCAATTGGTGGACATTCGACTTAAAACTGAACAGAAGACACAACAAATACTACAAGCGTATGAAAAACTTGAAATGGTACATAAAGAAACACAATTAATAAAGCAAACAAATAAGTCACTATGGGATTTGCTTGCTATACTAGAGATGGAGAAGGCATCTAACTATTTGAGATTTCAGAATATACCCGAAGGAAAGAATGAAGACTTGAGAGATTTAATGACTAACATGCTGGCAGAGTTGTTAGCAATAGAAAATGAAGAGATGGGGGCAGGGATTGATTTTATTTACAGAGTCAACTTATGCAAGGAAAAATAAGCTTCCGAGGGAAGTCCATGTCAAATTTGCTCTAAGGTCTATAACAGACAATGTTTTGAGGGCCATACGTGAGAAACCTTTAAAGGTGGATGATCGCCATGAGGTGATGATTCTGAAGCAAATACCATGGAGGATTAGAGAAGGATGAAAGAAATACTTATTCCTTACTACAAAGTTGATAAAGAAAGCGATTATGTTTAGGTAGCTAACGCCAGAAGGGATATTTTTCACCTGGAACTCTACAAGATACAAATTGGACTCTATTTTTAAGGCACAAGAAAAATTTAGAAGTATGCTTGAAGAGGAAGAACCGGGTGCCTCAAAAGAAGGAGGGAAAGGTGCTGAACCAATGGAACTAACAACGTATCACTCTGAGGAAGGAGAAATAGAGAATACTGACTCACAACAAGAAGTACAGACACTGGAGAAAACAAAGAAAAGAGAAAAGGTAGAGGTGTAAAGAAGAAATAAGAGAATTTTGTATTTTGAAGGGAATGATTTGTAAATGGGCTGGCATGCTTATATGTGGAATGAGAAGGCTAAGTCACATGGTTCTTTTTTAAGTCACTATTTTAGAAAATCATTAATGTCGGTGTGGGAAAAGTTAAAGATAAAACTGTATAATAAATTACCAAGATGGCTTTCACCCAGGGAAGCTTTTGTGTATCCAAATGAATTGAATGTTGAAGGGATTATAAGATATGATGACATTTTGGATAAGGATGGAGGACTGAAATTGAATTAAGAAACACAAGAACAGGGAGCTGATATCTCTTGGTGGCATAAGGTGCAGATACAATCGAGATATGCTAAAGATTGTAAAGCATGGGGTTTTTATACGGACTTAACAGCATTTGAGCAAGTGATGCTTAAATCAGATGAGAAAATGATTAAAAGATTATATGACTTCTTACTTGATAGGAAAATGGAAGAAGAACATGTTAAGGAAAGTATGATAACATGGGCACAAAAATTTAGATATAATATTGAATTAGAAAAGTGGCAAAAGCTGTGGGAGAGAAATATCAAGGTAACATTAGCAACTTCGTATAATAGAAAACTTGTATAAAATGTTTTATAGATGGTATCTGTCACTAAATAGATTAGCGAAAGATGTTTCCAAATATGTCAAATGGATGTTGGATATGTAAACATAAATTGGGTACTTTTAATCATATGTGGTGAACTTGCAATAATGTGAAAAGTATTTGATTAAAATACATAAATGGCTTGAGGAAATGCTACAAAAATCCTTAGCTTTTAAACCCGAAGTTTTTTTTTTATTAGGCATTATACCAGAGGACATTAGTAAACAAGAAATGTATTTGATTTTACATGTAATTACTGCGGTGAGGACTGCATTCGCTCAACACTGGAAAAGTGAAGAACTACCGATGAATTGACTCTAAAAAAAGATCCTGGACTGTGCAGAAATGGATAGATTGATTTTATCATTGAAGAAGAAGGAAGATACTGACTTCTATCAAACTTGGAAATCTTTTTATTATTGGGTAGAGAAATGGGACTTCGCATAGATTTAAATATGTTTTTAAGTTATCATAAATGGAAAAAGAAGGGTGTGGGGGCTGACCCAGCAGGCTCAATGTTTTTGATGATGGATGTTGTTTGTAGTTTTCTTTTTGCTTTCTAGGATTATAATTTCTCAAATAAAATTTATTTAAAA